TCTATACTGTTTTGTTTTTGTATTTTTCCAAAACAGTGGGCACCTCTTGCTTACCTTACCAAGGCAGCCACTTAAGAGGCTGTTCAGACATTTAAAGGGCACCCCACAAAACTCGGAAGCCCCTGTAAAACAGAGGTCCCCAGAGCTCTCTGGTTGAAACGGGAGTGGGGGTCTTTCTTCTCTCCTCACTGACGAGCACCCTTTAAGACCTCTGGCCTGGAGGATTCCAGGGGTCCGGGCCACTTCTGTTACGTTTCCACAACTACACAACTCACCAAAGTTGAAATGAGTGAGTCTATCATCTGAGGATCCTTAGCTTTGGAAACAAACTCTGTCACCAGGAGTTAGTCCAGTTTCGCTCTGGAGCCCTGATGAGTCGGCCACCATGGAGCCTGGGCTTGCGTGGCCTGCTTTATTCTTCTTCTTTGCTTCTTTTGGGGGGTGGGTTTGTTCATCATCCCCTTCAGCTGTGGTACCCAAGCTAAGCGGACAGGGGGGAGTTACATAAAACCTCCCTGTGACCTGTTTGCACACACCAGCCTGGTTAACCCCGGGCAGAATGACAGTGACAGCTGCCTTGCAACAAACAGAGGGAGTGAAGGGTTCAGTTCCGCAGCCGCCGCAGGGACGAGTATATCATTACAGCCCGCGGCTCCGAGAGACACCATCTAACCTCACCGCCTGTCCCGGACTCCTCTAGGACATCTGACCCAGACCCTCCGGGAGCTTCCTCCGCCCGTGACTGCCCGCCGGCCTGTCCTCACCTCCGCCTGCGCTCCCGGCAGCGCCAGCCAGGCTTTCAGCAGCTGGGGTAGGACTCATCCCAGCCTTGGAGCCCCAGGGGGAAAGGGGGGAGGGAAAACACATGGGGGCCAGGCAGTCCAGGGCCGGTTGCAAGGACAAGGGCCCCGGGAGGATGGGCTGCCTGCGGAGGAGGCAGAAGTTGTCCGCCTGGGATGATGCCCTGCTCTCGGGAAGGGACCCCCGGGCCCTGCTGAAGCGGGGCCTGCGCCACATCAGCTTCAGCCTGGTCACCAAGGGGATGACGGACGTCCCCGACTTCCTGTGGGGCTTGTCCGAGGTCCAGAGGCTCAATCTGTCTCACAACCAGCTGCGGGTTCTGCCCCCCGAGGTGGGCCGGCTGAGCAGGCTGGTGGTGCTGAACCTGTGCGGGAACCACCTGAAGAGCCTGCCCGCGGAGCTCAGCCTCCTGCAGGGCCTGAAGGTGCTGTTCCTGAGCATGAACCGCCTGAGCGAGCTGCCGGCCGAGCTGGGCGCCTGCAGGAGCCTGGAGGTCCTGAGCGTGTCCCACAACCGCCTCTCCCAGCTGCCCGCCGGCTTTGCCGACCTCTCCCGGCTGCGGAAGCTGAACCTCAGCAACAACTGCTTTGCCCACATCCCCGCCTGCGTGTTCGCACTGAAGGAGCTGGATTTCCTGCACGTGGGCTCCAATCGCCTGGAGAACATCGCCGAGAGCATCCAGTGCCTGGGCAGCCTGCAGATCTTCATCGCGGAGAACAACAGCATCCACTCCTTCCCGCGCTCGCTCTGCCTCCTCGCCAGCCTGGAGATGCTGAACTTGAACGACAACGACATCCAGACCCTCCCGGAGGAACTCTACCTGCTGTGCAGGCTGGAGAGGATCGCTTGGAACCCCATGGACAAAGGGCTCCACATTTCCCATAACCCCTTAGCCAAGCCTCTGCCCGAGCTGGTGGAGGGGGGCCTGGACATGCTGGTCAGCTACCTGAAGGACAAAAAGCACAGCTGAGTGGCCGCGGAGGCGGGAACAGCAGCCAGCTCGGCCGGACTCTGCCCACGGGGTACTTCTCTAGTCGGAGCTTTCTCCTCTTACTGTTGGGTTGGTCAAGGCGTGTGTTAATTAATATTTGCTCAATTGTAGTTGAGTGGCATTCTAGGCAGGGGTTTGCTTTGAACTCTGTATGTTCCTAATAACCCCAAAATATGGCCATCTCATCCTAAATATAAATGGAAACAGCAGGGTGGTCTTCTCCAAAGAGAAATAATTGCTCTAATTTTCCTGAGGAGCAGTGGGATTCGGCCCTTGGAATAATGGTCAGCAGGTCTGATTCGATGGAATCCAAAAGTTAAATATTTACTAAGTATGTGCCAAGGATGGTGTGAGGCATTGGCAACATCTGGTGTCAACCCTTGCGTTGGCAACCGGAGGCCAGGTAGCAGCAGCAAGACACGCTCCTGCACCAGCCTGGACCAAGCCTTACTTGGGACCAAAGGGCCAGCTGGAGCCCTGCCCTTCTGGTGATGACCAAGGTAGGCAGAGCTTTCCCCTCGAGTTCAGGGGGAACAATCAGAGGAAACTTGTCTCTAAAATGACTGTAGAGTAACAATCAAGCCGCTCAGGTTTACGTGTGGTGCTGAGTGACTGGCTCGTGATGGCTTTTAGATAATAGAAACAACCCGATTTTAATGTGCAGTTTCAACCTTCTTTCCCAATCCTCTTGACCATAGTCATGTCCCTGAGTTTTCCTAAAGATGCCAGCCGTGCTTGTCATCCTTTCTAACTTCCCTTCTCCTCCCTGACTGGGTCTGCCCTCTCAGAGATGAGATAATAATTGAGGAAAAAGAAATGGCCTAAAGGCAGGAAAAAGGAGGTAAGGCACAGACAAGTCACACACAAAATGTAATTGCCCTTCTAACATTCAGGGGAGGGCGATATTTGCCACTTGGCTTTCACTTATGAACATTTAAAAAGGATTTTAGTGACATTTTTTTTAAAGCTCTTTGGACAAAAGGCTGTAAAATATTACATTCATTTTGTTTTTAATTATAAAAATACACAGCTGTTAGTTAAATGTGATAGCAGGACGAGCAATTTTAGAGTTCCTGCCACAAGGGTCACTAAGTCTTACTGTTGTCACAGTAGCCGAGAGCCCCTAAAACATTTACTGTGTATTAAGAGCTAAAGAATTAGGATGAAGAGGTGGCAGTGAAGAAAGTACAGCCCCTGCAGGTCAATGGAGAGCCCACTGTTCAAGTGTCTTGGCACTTTTGACGGTAGAATATGGCTAACTATTTTGAGACAGAATTTGGGTTTGCTGCCAAGACTTGCCTAACTTCTTAATACCCCTTGGCTTAATTCAGTTAAACTTATGTTTGTTAGCACCATCTCTTCACTCCCGTGGGCCGGGAACCCGAGAGGAGTAAAGCTCTGCTCCTTCTACCAAGGAGCCCACAATGTGGTGAAAAGGACAGAAACCCACGTGGGTTCCTGTGATGTGCAGCAAGCTGTGATCCCTCTCAAGAGAAATGTAAGTGACGGGCTGGAGTGAGGGGAACACACTGGATGGTGTAGACTAGACCATGCCCCAAGGACTCAGTAAACAAAGAACAGTAACTAAAACAAACAAACAAACAAACAAAACAACAGGACTGGGAGAAATCAGTCAAACCCTTATCCTCTGCAGCCATTGCACCCTAATTCCTCCCTCTCCTCCCTTTATTCCCGGTGGGAAAGAGCAGCAAAGGTCTGGGGCACTGGGTCTGAGCCTAGGCAGGGTTAGTATGGAGCTGCCATCTTCTAAGAGTTGCTCAAAGAGGATCCATATCATTTATTAATAGGACAGGTGATTTTCCAAACAGACTTCCAAGTCAATTTCCCACTCATAGAAGACGAAAGTCGTTATCATCAGATACAATAGGTCATTAGCACATTTCCGCATGAGCTCTGTCAAACCATCGCAAACAGATCTTACCAGTGTCACTGGGCGGCAGCTGAAGTCCCCTCTTAAATTCCCCCTCCAGCAGCAACCGGAGACCTGCCTCTTCCTGCCAGGCACACATGGGCACACTCCAGTATCTTCACCCACATTAGCCTGCCAGAGCCAAGACTATTTAAAGACATCAGTGGAGGTTTTACTTGACCTCATGACTCAGTGGGAAATTGCAGGGCGAGCCTCTGCAGGATCACTTACCGAGCGCTGGCTGGAGCACAGGCAGCTGTCAGACAGACACTGGTGGGTGCCAGATCACGCCTGTCCGTGGCCACTGCTGAAGAACCAGTTGGCTCCCGCCGAATTTCCATGATCTTGCTGTGGGCGGAGAGGCTGGCCGGGACAGCAGCACCCCAGTTCTCCCGCTGAGCAATCATTTTATTTCCTCTCCTTGCTTATCCAGTCACTTGACCCCAGAGTAACTTTACTCCAGAAAAAGAACCTAACCATAGATTGAAAGTGACTCAAGAGCTCATTATACTTTTTATGTGAAAAAAAAAGTGTTATCAACATAGTGTCAGGGTTCCATTGGTGCTTTTCAAAAAGTATAGCAGCAAGGTTTTCTTTGTTAACACTTAGCATTGAGGAAATCATAAAAGTAATAGTAGTTGCCTAATGTTCTTTAGATATTGATTCTTTGTGAATGCTCCTTTTTATTGATAAAGGGAAGTGCTGATTATAATCTGCTTAGTTATTCAAAACAGGAACGTGGATGGAGTTTGATACTGCCTTCAGTGTTTCTCTGTCAAGCCTACAGTTTGCTGATTGACTGTGAAGTGCTTCTTGCGTATCTTGTAGTTCAAATACTGCCACATTCAAATAACTCCCAGGTATTTCTAAGGCTTCTGAAACCAAAGCACTGGAGAGGACTGCATTGGCTGCGGAATATATTTAGCCAAAGAATACCAGCTAATTGGGAGCTTGGTGCGGGAGCTGGCTGCTCACAATCTTGATGAAACTGTGGTTTTCATGTCACTTGGCTCTCAGTACGGAGCAATCTCAGTGGTGTGTTCAGAAACACTATTTAATGCAGTGGCAGCTTACAAGCATACAATTAAGAAGAAATCCTATGTTCATAGGAAAGAAAGACGGCTTTGAAAAGACACATCTGTTCTGGGAAAAATACTGCTAAATGCATAAAACTGATGTATATTAGAAAGAAAAAATGTAGTCATTACTTAGCTTGTCAATTTAATAAACAGTTAATAGAAGAAATGTACTCCATGCTCAGGCTTCAGTTAATAGACTGCCTTTCTGTAACAACCAAAGATAGAGTGACTTCAGGACTCTGCACCCGTACTTCACAGTGATGTCATGTTTGTGCTGAAAAGAGATAAAGAAGGAATGCTGTCACTCTTTGCGGGGATGCATTAAACAAAATCCTTTTCTTTTGGTAATGGATTATTGCATTTTAAAATTCATATGCCTCAAAGCACATACCAAATATACATTTGATTGCTGTACATTAAAAACAGAGGAAGATTAAAGAACTGTGGGCTTGGTCACTGGAAAACAGGTGGAGATATCAACATGGACTGGGTTGATTCATTTCAGTAATATACAAAGACTAGGGGGAGTCTGAATGGAGTCACTGAGATCCCATTACAAATGGTGAAAAATAGAAGATGAGTTCAGGAAATGATCTAGAAAGAGAGAAAAAGTGCAAAAATGTGAGCTGTTAGATTTAGCCAATTTGAAGTTACTAAATACTCAATTATTCCATCCATATCTACTTCAGTAACCACATGTGCTCTATCTTCTTACTCCATCAAAGAATGATTTCCAGTTCTGTGTAACATATTCTTGAGAAACACAAAATATGCAGCCTAGATGAAATGTGCAACTAAGGAACAGTACCCTTGATGATGCAACTAAGTACTAGTACTCATTATAATTCACCCAAGAACAGCAAAATACAACTCCATCAGATATTTTAAGACAACAAAATAAAAATATAGAGAAACAGTAAAGGTATTATAACAATAATGGGAACAATCTTGACCTTGTTGAGAAAAGAACTTACAAGTGTTCCTTTTAAGTTACCTGTCAAGTTACATGTTGAATCCAAAGCATTACTAATTTAAAAAGAAAAGGAAAGGACAGCATAGTAATAAAAGGAAGCAAAGAGGGCTCATAACAAATCTGTAGGAGCGGGGACATCATTAGGAACGCATAACGGAAAGCTATTAGCATGAAGCTTGCTATACAGATTTTTTTAGTAGTGTCATAGGAATCTACTTGCAAGGAGAGACCTTATTTTCTACTGTGTCTAGGCTTATTCCTGATTTCAGCACAAGACAGAAAATAAAAGATGACGTGTCAAAGTATTTCCCGATACCTTTGTGAGAAACATACACTATGAAAGTTAGAAGACTATTGGCTGTGATGGTATGAGTTAGAGCTGCCAATGGAACACCACATGATCACCCACATTCTTTGCTCTTGAGTGATTTGAGTTTCCTAGAAGTCAGGGTGCCAGGACATGCTTTGGGGAAGTCTATTATCTTCTGTCTCTGGAACATCATGCCCATCACCATATGCATGCATGAGATAAGAGCCCTATGGGATGGTGGGCAAAGCTCCCAGCTCAGAGCTGGCCATGCCGCTTGCATAATACTTCCTGAGTACCTGTGCATCCTAAGACGGTGCAGGTGTTGGGGACTTAGCTTGGGAACTAGCTCCCATCCTCCACAGGGTCTTAAGTCCTTGGACAAAGAAGATGAGGCTCGGCTAAACACAATGCAATCCCGTGATTACAACTGCCTTAGCAGGTGCATAAACAAGTACAAAGGCATGTGGGTGACATGGCAGGAGGGACAGACATGCGATGCGATGAAATGGTGTGGAGAACACACAATCTAACATGACAGTTATTGATCCAGCGGTTACCTTGTTTTAGGTTGCCTTGATGGAAAATGTGTGAATCTCACTGCCCTAGAATGGCCGGCTGTATAATACCTGCCTGAATCTAAGACGTTGGGAAGGCCCATCATGGGAAAGTCTGCGTATTATGATAATGGCCACAGCATGTGTCATGGGCTCCAGAGGTTCTCCCGAGCCACTCCTACCCCACTGTGTGGGAAGGTCCTTCCTGAGGGTTCTGAAGGAAAGGTTGGCAGTTGTCCTCAAAGCTGCTGCTCGTCAAAACCCCCGTGGAACTAAAAAAAAAAAAAAAAAAAAAAAAAAAAAAAAAAAAAAAAAAGGAAGAAAGCCCTGGGCCTTAATTTGAGGGATTCTGACATAGTCAGTCTGAGGAAGGCCAGGGCTTCTTTAATTTGTCTTTAAAGCTCAGCAGATAATCTGTTGCTGACACTGAACTGAGAAATGGGCTCCTACCTAAAAAGTCAGAAATGAGACTCTTAAGCCAATTGGGTGAAGAGCTTACCAACTGAAAAGGGGCAGTAAAAGGTGGGAGGTCACTGACCAGCAGGTGAAGCTCTGCTGGTGCCTCCTGATTAGGTTCATCCAGACACTTGTTAAAAATTAAAAGTCCCAGGTCTCTTTGGTATCCTTTCAGATTAAGGAGGTCGAGGGCAGGGCTTGGTGTCCTGGGGTCTAACCAGCAATCCAGGTGTTCCCTATCAAACCGGATGGAGAGGGAGAGAACCTGGGCAGCACAGTATGTGCCCGCTGGAAAATGGTAAACTCTGTATGTATCCC